AGCGACGTTCAAACCGCTCTAAACGAAATGAAATTTTCTGCTTCGTCCGGTCAGTTCAAAGTCTCAAATTCTCTGTTAAAAGCTTGCGGAATCTCAATTGTTGCACCGCTTGTAACTTTATTTAATATTTGCGTCAAATTCAGTACATTCCCGTCGCACTGGAAGACGTCATACGTGACTCCTCTTCCAAAAACGTCTGTAGATCAAACATTAATTACCAATTACCGCCCTATTGCAATTCTGCATCCAGTTTCGAAAATCTTTGAAAAGTGCATTGCCAACTATTTACGATGTTTTTTGGAAAGCAATTGCTTGTTAAGTGACAGCCAGTTCGGATTCCGTGCTAAGCGTAACACGGAACTGCAGTGTTTGGTTTTCTCGAAATTTGTTAAAGACTTTATTGAAAACGGAGTTGAAGTTGATGCGGTGATGTTAGACTGCTCCAAAGCCTTTGATCGTGTAGACCACCAGTCCTTGTTGACAACACTGGGCTTGCTTGGTGTTGACCCCGACGTTATTAGTTTGCTGGATGACTACTTAACTGGTAGAGAACAGATTGTGGTCGTGAATGGCGTATTTTCAAAAAGCGGGGTTACAACCAGCGGAGTACCACAAGGTTCAGTATTAGGTCCAATATTGTTTATCTGCGAAATTAATGGGATAGTGTTTGTTCTGCTAAATGGTAGCAGGATTTTTATTTTCGCAGACGATGTGTTCTTATGCAGGCCAATAAGAACGAGCGACGACTGCACGAAATTTCAAGAAGATATCGATGCCGTATTTAAATCAGCGGTTGAAAAACGATTGACCTTTAACCCGAAAAAATCAGTGCACATGCGCTTTTCCAATAAACGAAGTTTAAGTGACGTAAATAAATATTTTTTGAACAACGTCGAGATTGAAAGTCGCCCTGTCGTTAAATATTTGGGGTTAGTGGTCGATCGAAAACTGCGGTGGGGTGAGCATACGAGTAATTTGTGTATCAAGATTAGAAACGTATAGGCTACATCTTATCGCTGTTTAACCATTATGACTCCGCGGCACTTATTTGTTTGTATAAAGCGTTAATTTTTCCACTTTTGATTATTGCAGTCCGTGGTAAAACCATTTCTCAAAACCCATAGAGACGATTTAGATAAATGTGCTTTAAAGTTCCTGAAAAGATTGCGAATGGGCAATGCGCGTACAGATTACAGTGGCAGGCTTCGCGAGATAAATTGGGATTGTGTTGAACTGCGTCGCATTAAAACGTCTTTGTGTGTTGCATATAAACTCGTATTCGGCATGATACCTTTTGGCAGCCATTTTTTTATTTGTTATGAGTCAGTTACTGCCGTCGATACTGTTGCAGGTAACACTCGGAATGCCGATCGGATGTCGCGCCACCCATTCCCGATTCAAGCTGCCAGAACAAGTTTTTGTGGAACGGAAGTGCCAGCCAGCGAAAATTCTTTCTCATGGAGGACTGCTAAACTTTGGAACGACCTCAATTTAGATCCGTCATCGTACTGCTCACTGCAATCATTCCAAAGAGCATTGGAAGACGTCTCTTGGAAGGAGATCGCATCTGCTAACGACCATCTGCCGTCGAATAACCTTGACTTTTGTTAAATCGATGAAATTGATGAAATGTTTTACTGTTTTCTTATATAAGTTTTATTTGTTTTTTTTTGTAATAGATTATGTTGACCTGTCTATAGATCTCGATAAGGAGTGATTCCTTGTATCTGTAGACACTAAGCGATTAAAACCTAAAACCTAAAAACCTATCAGTAAGCAACAACAGTAAACAAAAGTGCCGGTTTAGAGAAGATTGGCATCGCAGTTGCGTGCATATCAGGCTAAATGTGCGCGCGCGGAGGAGTTCATCCAGGACTTCTGATCAATCCTCCCAACCTGCTTCATCGGTTGCTGGACTGCGCGCTGCATGCCCAGCATAAGCGATAATTTTAGTATGTACTCAGTACGGGTGATCTTCCGTATTTTCTCCAGGCGCTTCAGTGTAAAGCGGACGTGCGCGCTTCCAAGATGCTGGAAAGTAGTACTGAATTAATTAATCAAACGCTAATTAGTTAGTTCAGTGATTTGCTTTTTTCTAAAATGTGTAACATTTTGTTGTACCGTACGTCCCCTCGCAGTTCCTTTTGCGGCAAGCCAGCTGCAAGATCTGAGATCCGCAAACTCCTTACAGAAGCAAGGACGCGGTCACTCGCGCCACTGCTTCTACAAGGAATTGGCGGATGTCAGCTACGAACCCTCTGGCACAATATCTGCATCTGCGTAAGCTGCTTTTCCCATCTCCCAACCGAGGTGCTCCGTTGCCACTGCGTCCTAATCCGGTTGCAAGCCTGCCAGACACCAAGCAGCTGTCAGCCATGCAGCTGGACAAGAACTCAACGACAGCTTCCGTTTGTATGCCTCCACGTCGCTCGCGCCTTGTGGTAAGAAAATTCACCTGCAGGACATGCTGGATCAACATGTCCACCACATGTTAACTTTAACGAATTTTGATTTATAATAAACATTTTCAACGGTTTCTATACAAGCTGTACATACATGCAGTATCACATCATTGAATAATTTGACAACTATTGTATTAATAGTCGAAACTAGTACTTACTACTGTATATCGCTGCATTTTTGCAGTCGACTGGTCGCGTCTTCCACCAGCGCTTTCCTGCGCCGGAACAAGCCAGACGTACGACGATGTACGACAACGCGCCGTCCCGGTATTTCCGCTCATCCTATCAGGGCATCGATTGCCCGTTTTACACTCGTACAAGTGATGTACAACTACGGAATGCGCAACCATGATGATAATATTACTTTAACCAGGAATTAGCGCTGTTAAACTTGCGTTTTCCCGGGCCGGGGAAGGTCGAAAACGCACAAGGAATTCAACAGCAAAATTGAAGGTAATGCAAAATATGAAATCATATATATATCTTATAACCTCCATCGTTAAAATGATTACAAAAGTATGCGCATCTGACATGATTGTTTTATGATAACAATTATTATGCTCTTTTGATTGAGCATTAACTGCAGCAATTTGTGTAAGTAAAGTAAGTAAACCCTGGAGGTGAGTGTCGATCGACTTCTAAGCGAACATGCCGGTCTGGATGGTCTTCTCGTCGGGCTGGAGTTTGTACTTGATGTTGAGTAACTACGAGCAGTACTTGCTGACCTTTTCACCTGTACTTACATAAATTCACAAACGCGTACCTCACACCAATGCGCTCCACATCATCACAGCGGATTATTTCGAGCCGGCCTCGCTGCTGCAGTGCGAGCATAAATGCAGGGTGATACTAGAGCCGTTGATGTGCAGACAGATACCGCCGATCTCCTTGGCCTGCTCCTTCTTGGCCGTCTTCTCGTCCTGGGCGCTGCCGCTGATCTGCCGCAGGATACTGCGCCCGTCCAGACGCAGGCCCTGCTCGGCGCGGCCGTCCTTGTTGAAGAAGGGGGCGTTCTGCAGGTACTGCAGCAGATCCACCACGGACTGCTGCGACTTGACCAGACTGCGCAGGTAGGCCGCGTCCTCCCGCAGGCGGTCCAGTTGGGCGCGCGCCTCCCGCATGTCGCGCTCCATCGTCTCCGCTCCCGCTTTCAGCTAGGTCCATGCATGATACATTCGGTCAGCGGGTGCTCTTCGCGCTGCTTCTTCCTCAGACGGAGTTTGCGAGCGGCCACTGCCGGTGTGGACATGGATCTGCAATGCAGAAGAAAAATCAGAATTAATTTAACTGGGTATTTGCGTATAAGCTTTATGAAGTCGGCTTGCACACATTGCTGTAGATTAAGCGATATCGCTATGCACAGTCACTGTTCTACGGAATCTCTCTCTACACCCTACAGCGTATTCATCTCGCTATAACTGAAAAATTTACTGCTGCTAAAAATAGTAAATACTTGTTGACAGAACACTGCTCGCAATTACAGTTGCAATAACCAGATTATTAAAAGCATTCAATGAAAGTAATAGAAAACTTTCCCGAATTTCCCAAAATCAGAATTAGACTGGGGAATTTCCTACAAGGTTTCGTCGAATGTCGAATTACTGAAAAATCAAGAAAAATTTAAGAAAACGTTGTTGTTGTTTAGGAAAACTGTAGGAGTAAATATGGATAAATCACACCAAATTGTTACACAATAAGTGTAAAAAAAATTAAAAAAGCTAAAAGTTATTCCATAAAGGTTAAAAATCAAGAAAACTACAAAATAATGTTTTCAATATTTTCGAGACAGTAATGGTGGACTTGCACGTCACGGCGCTGTCGCTTGGCATTCTCGGCAAACGGCACGGTAGGAATCTTCGGCAAGGGCGGCAATGCGGCATCACCGCAGGCGCAGGCATCCCCTCCACATCGCGTCGCGTCATCTTCCGCCGTCCATCCGTCGACACCCGGCCATCCGCGGCATGATCACTCCCATCCGTCCCCGACAGCCCCATAGAGTAATCTTTGATTGTGCATAGAGTAGTCGGGTAGCGTGGCAAATCATTATTGTGGCTTTCTTTGCTATTAATACACAACTTCAAGAAAGTACCTTTTATTTTAGTAATTTTCTCGTGTTAAAGCGAACGAATCAGCTTTCAGTGAATTGCTGGCGCTTGTGCAGGCGATACCCGCGAGTTGATACTAAACAGTGTCGCATCACCATTTTCGGATCTTGATTTTACAATTATTAACATGTTTTCAAAAACTGATTGTTGTCAGATTTTTTAATGGCTCGGGAAATCACAATACAAATTTTTAGTCGATTTATTGACTCATCCGTAATGTGTAAAATGGACAGGGTAAGTTAATTAGACTCGTTTCAATTAATTTACAGAATATTGCTCGCAGATCTGCTAGCAGGACTGACTGTTTTAGGATCTGCCTTGCAGCGTGAAGAAAGCAGGAAATAAATGAATGTGAAATAAATTCACTGACGTGTAAAATGAATTTTTTATATTTTTATATAACAAGAATACCGTACTGCTTCATTTTATTAATTAGTCGTACATCAGCGCATCCGCGCGGTAGCAAAGCTTACCAACGGGAAGTTACTCGCACAAACAACTGAAACAAGTATTGCAGAAAACGTGGGCGTGCCGCATAATTGTCAACGTCCTCGAAGCAGCGCAGGAAGATGAAGCACCAAGCAAACTCAACAAAAAACAACGGAAAGGGATATGGCACTAATTGTTCAAAAAAGCAACGCCCAAACAGTACAAATGCCAACAAATTTAATTTTGAAAAATCATAGCAACAAAAATGGCGCATTTGGCGCAAAAAAACAGGGCAAAGCGGGGTAAAAAAGTAAGAGAATAAAAAGAGTAAAACAATTACCACACGCCAATTGAAAAATGCCCTTTGTCCGCCATGCCGGCCTACTTCAGTTAATGCCGTACTGCTGCTTGTAGTACTGCATGTCGTTGTAGGCCATGCCGAGGTGGCCCAAGGACGCCAGCGTGAACTCGAACCGGTGCGCTTGTTCGGCGGCCATATTCTGCAACAACTGCAGAATTTGGTTGTTCTGGGCAATCACCTGGTTGTTCTGGACGATGACCTGGCCCATCTGGGCCTCCACCTGGCCCATGCGGGTCTCCAGGGCCCCCATCCGGTTCTCCACCAGGCCCATCCGGTTCCCGAAGACGCCCATGCGGGTCTCGAACGCCGCCAGCGCCTCTCCCAACGCCTGGAAGTGCTGCTCGTTGCCCTTCAGGATGCCGACTGCCTCCTCCAGCACCTTCTCAATGGCCTCCATGCGTTCAGACGCCCACTTGTAGTGCTCCGTGTTGCGCTCCTTGGCCTCCGCGAACTCCTTGTAGAAACAGTAGCGGGTGATGCCCGCCTCCTGGTGCAGAACCTCCAGCTGAGCCCGTTGCTGCTTCAGCGCCCAGCGAACGCGATCCATTTCCGCCGCGGCCTCCTCCGGCTGCATCCCGTTCAGCGCCGTGAGCTTTCCTCGAGAGCCGTCCAGGGCCTTGGTGGCCTTCGGCAGCTCGACTTCCAGCTGGAAGAAGTGCTGGATCAGCGTCGGCTCGTCCACCACCTGGCAAATTGAGCGAATTCTGGATAACTCTGTCATCTGTGTATTCAACCCCTTTTGAACCAAGACTGATACGTGACTTTAGCGCATTACCATTTCTTCAACTTCCGGCTGCATTGCCTCCGTCTGACAGGCGTTGTCAATGCGACTGGCCATCTTTGATGCTGACCTAAACGTACAAACAAGCGGTAGCGTCATGGAAGATCTTTTTCTACGTGCACAAGAAGCAACAAGCCAGAAGCCACAGTTGTCACACCACTACATATACGTATACCACCACTGAAGTTGTTAATTACGTATTAATTATTACTGTATCTGCATTACCCGTTGAAATAAAATATATTATTATGTACGTTAGCACGTACTACGTATTGTACAATATTTTGGTAATGATAGTTATAACTATATTTTTCTTTAATAGAAATTTTAAAATGTACGTCAGCAACTGTACTTCGGCGAACAAACAGCTACACACTCACCGTCAGCATTACCGTACAGGTACACGCCGCCGTGCAGTATGTACTATGTTGTGAAAGTCATGCGTACATATAAAGATAAATCACAATACACCAACGTAATCGCTAAACGTATTTTTGTGTAAACACTTTTTTAGACCTGCAGTGTATTTATTACAGCCACGAAGATTTTTAGAGGTAACTGAAACTGCCTCGCTTGTCGTAATATGTGCTCGTTACATCGTTAAAGTGACGCTTAATTAAGGGAACATTTTTGAAATACATGTACAGTTGATATTGTATTTCAGATTTACTAACATTCACTGCAGTGAATAAAGTGGCCACGACCACATTAAGGAAAATGGCCCGGTACATAGCCCCAAAACTGCCACTAACCGCAAAAACAGTCATTGTCGCGCACTCCCGTATGTGTTTTTTTGTTGTTTTCAACCATCGTATAGAAAAATGATGTGTTTATACTGTTGTGAAAACCGTTTGCACGCGCATCACTGCATCTCTAGATTTGCAATACGAGTACTTATACAAAGTGCCGCAGTACGTAATGATCAAGCTGATTAAGGTCTTCGAATTTCGATAACCAACAAAGTACGACTACCATCAAATGCGTAAATATTAAAAACAAATTAAGAAAATTTTGATGGATAAAAAATTAGAAACCAACAACTCATAGAGCAGATCATTATCGCTACAATCCTGTTGGCCATGGGTACAGTACCGACATTATCATGCGCTTTGCACTCACAATTGATTACGCTCGACGTCGCGAGGAAGGAAGGAACCAATCTGGATCACGTACGAGCCAATTAAACCTACAAAGCGGACAGCTCAATCTAAAACAGCGAACAGCGGCATCTACATGTGTTTACAATCATTTCCGAATGGCTGAAGTACTGGTAATCGCCTATCGGAGATTCTAAATCAACGGTATACCAATGGCGTAAGTTCGTTCCCAAGATTGAGGCGCACTACGAACGCTATACTGTTGCATCCCTGAGTCAATATCTGACCATAAACCTTTACTGTATCATTTCAGTTGTGAGCTGGGATAAGCAAGAAAGCATTTAGCCAAAACTAAACAGTAAGTGCTTCCCTTGGGATTGTACCGCCAGCGCCACAGTAGAAAAAACTCGCATAATGGTAAAGCGATGGGAAAATCTGTTATTGTGTACTGATAATCTTTAACTATCGTAGTTGTAGTTACCTGCCTCGATACTGGCGAAACGTGGAGGGAATCCGCTTGGATGATAACGTCAGACAGCACGCGCTCCAAGTAACTTGAGGAACTCGAAGAGCCAACGGCGGACCACTGCAAGTTACAAGGCTGAATGATTAGCTGACAAATACATAGGTATCGCAAAAACTTGCGCCCTTATTTGAAAATTTATCCCGAGCTTGAAAATTATCCCTGATAGTCGAGGCGCATAAGTAGTTGTTAAAAAATTAGCGATTCACGGTGAAACGATAACGAGAACCTAAAGGTGAACAAGCGCGCCTGAAATGCGAGGTCGGAATAAAATTAGGTGGACACATCAGCTTCGCTGTACCTGTTCAAATGACGCGGATGCCTTAGAATAGAGTCAGCGCTAATCCTAACAGAATTAATAGCCAGTACAGGTTTTCAGGTGCATGCGCCTAACTGTCCCGCGCAAATTTTACGGGAAATTCAGTTGAACGATAACGCGAACGCTTCATATCAGAACCGACGAACTGCGATGTAGTTTCTCAGAGAAGAACAATTTTATTTTTTATACTTCATTAAACAATTCCACAAAAAAAGCGTAAACGATCCAGAAAGCCTGATCAGTATCACACAATTTCTGTCAAATAAAACATCGTCTGCCGATGTACTACGTGTAGGGAAAATTAGACAAATTCTGAAAATTTTCTTTTTAATTAATTTCTAATTAACCATCTGCCTCGACTGGATCAGTATCCACTTACCGAAAAGATAAAAATACCGGGAATCCGAAATTGCCAACGGGAACGATGGTTCTTCGGTGGTTTTCCGACAACCTGCAAGAAAATCCGATTGCTATGCTGGATTTACACGGTCACGCTTAGATTAAGCAATTCAAGCTACTTGACTGTTTCATCCTTTACCTGTACCAATGATTTGCACTTCACGGGAAGTTTTTGAAGTAGGTCTAATTAACGCCGAAGAAAAATTATCGCAAAATGTGAAATGCGGTAATAAAAATTGCGAGATTTCAGCAAGTTAACGATTACGCAAATGAAGCTGCTCGTTGCGACTGTTCGCCGTGGACTGTTCGTGGCTTCCAGCAGCGCATTGAAAAGCAACGTTGCACCGACGGGTGCATTCTTGCACCGGTCGGAACAATGCCCAACTTACGATGGTGTACGACCTCGCGCCGCCCCGGTGCTTCCGTGCCACCTATCAGGTCACCCGTTGCCCCGTTTTAAACTCGAACCGGCGTTGTACGTTCAACTGCGCAATGCGCCACCGGGATAATTATTTACCGGAGAATTAATTATTTCGCTGGCTTTTTTCCGGGTAGAGTTGGAAAGTCATAATTAGATTAGCCAGCGGAATTAAGAAAATCGGCAAACAAAATATGGAAAACATACGACTTCTATCCTTTATCGCGCAATGAAAACGATTGCAAAATGCATATTTTTGTAAACAATTTAAATCAATTTTATTCGACCGATAATTAAATTACAAGTACGTACCTATCGCGTACTCGACATTTATTAATTAATTTTTTGTAAATTTGTGTTTTTTCAGTAATTTTTCGTGGGGATATACAGTATTTAATTTTTTATTATTAAATTAGAAAACAATTGCCAGCGCCTGGTATCGCGTTACGAGATTAATTTTACTTTTAATTTGCCGTTGGAAGAAGCGCTCGAATGTCTGGCATTTTGTCTGGCGCAACAGCGTTGCACTGTAAAATCAGCCAGCGTCATCTTCGCGCGCGGCGTGACCCATTTGTTTGGCGTGACGCCAGGAAGAATTCTTCGCTTTCGAGTTTCGAACGGCAGTGCCTGGTCAGATCGCTGCCTGCCATTTCGTTGAAAATGTTGCGTTTTTGGATGCCTATGCTAACGCAAGCAGGGTGTGTGTACAGTTAAAAAATACCAAAACAAGATGTAGAAGAAAATAAAAAAAATAAGAAATCGGAAATAAAACATAAAAAAATAAGAATATGCAACAAAATCTGTAACCTCGTATAGCAGGATTACGCTTTACACATGTACAGCTGATTAGTACGAGCATTACCACCACGGCAAACAAAGTAAGAAGTGAAAATTTGCAAATACTTAACGATTTTTACAGAAAGCTTTTATTGAAGCGTTCTCATTAGCATCTCGGGACACGAGCTTTTGCAGTACTGATAAGGCGGTTTGTTTGTGTTTTTTCTGTGTTTTGGAAGACGTGCTGAACCGACAACGCGTTATTAATTGGCAGATTAGAAAAAAAGTGCCGGACAAAGTTCACAGCAAACACGGAGAGATGTACGTGCACCGTATTTTCGGAGATATTAAAACTGAGGTAAAAATTTTGCAGTTAACAAAGGTACAGCAAGTAATTTTATATTTTATTATGCGAGTATTTATGTATTGATGTATAAGTAAGTACATCAAGAACTGTAGAAAACTACGTCTGCATTGTATACATCTGCATAATTATGCGTGTGTTATACGCGTATATCGTATACATAAGTATATCTGCGTAATTTTAGAAACATACTTTTTTTGGAAAGAAATTTACAAGCTTTTATACGTCCACGCTACGAGGACAAATTACTACTGTACATGCCTCTCTATGTAACCTACTGTACTGTACTGTACATGCCATTCCTCTATTAATGGTCACTGTTAATGCTATACTTCAAAAGTAGTCAGAAAAGATTAAACATAATAAAATGTGTTATCTGGTCAATTGTTAAGTACCGAAATTAGTCAACACATATTTGTTAATACAAATAATTCTACTGTTAATAAATACCTTAATGCATACATGAAGTAATCAGCACACGCATCAACTACCTACGGGCGGCAGTTGCTGCGGTACTTTATTAAGAATTCTTGCCGTTCTTGCATGCAGCATCGGGATAAATCCGTGTAATTACTTTGCACGAATACAATTATAATAATTATGCGATAATAATTATACAAATAAATACGAAGTGCACAACAATTCTAGAACGAGGGTAAAATTGCACAACAACTCTATGGGTCTGCGCGTAATCCGATCAATGCAGCGACACACAATAAATATGAAATTAATGTCACCCGTATATGTGGTCGTACAAGCAACGCGAATATCTCATTATTTAATAAAACAGAGTTTTTTTTAAACGCTAATAGAAAAACTGCTGCTAGAGGAGTTGATGCATATAATGATTATTAAATGCTAATCCATATTTCACTGTCCTGTTCTTGACTAATATTTTGCATTCAATAGGTTACAAAGTTATTAGTCGGTTTTGTATTATATTTTTCGACAAAAATTGATGTTCGACGTTTCATACAGCATTTTACATGGCTATCACGGAGACCGCGAAGACTTTGCATCGAGAATTGTCAGTACTTGCTTACGTACGTATCTGGATCGGTATATACACTGCATACGTCCTGTTCCAGTATATTCCAGGGACTTCCGGCCCAGCGTCCATCCTTAGATAACAAATACCCATTTTTTGGGCACAGTCCATCCGGTACTACAATAACGTGTGCTTAGATTCCATGACAAAATTATACGGCGCTCCAAGGAAACGCATAACGCATAATTTTTCACTGTTTTCCTCGTGTGATCAACAATATTAAGGTGCGTGGAAGAATCCGTATTACTCGTTACTACGGATCGCACATATGTACCATGCATCCGGAGGCATGAAAAAAGGACAATTTCCACAGTAAGTATCTGTACGTAACCACCTTGACGATTCCCGCATATCACGGTCATATAAAATCTCACTGGCACCCACGGTGTGTGACTAATTAATACGAACAGTAAAATCCATAAAATCATGTAAAATCCATCACCATCATGTAAAATCCATCCATACAGTAAAATCCATAAAATCATTCGGTTGTGGCAGCTCTGGAAGATAAAAACCATCAACGCGGCGCGTAGGTTTTAGTAGGCATCTAATACTGTAAATATCCGTAAAATTAATGCAGACTGTCCGCCATGCACCGCGCGGTGAGAGACGCACGCTGAAACTACAAAGTAGATATGTACTTGTGGATTACACGTTGCAGTAAAAGCGTATAAAGAGAAATAAACGACAGAACGAGCGCTCGCGATTCTCAGCCTGGTTCACCCTTTAAATGACAACAACATCCCGCATAGCCGGCACAGTCAACCCAAAACACGCATCGTTGTCTGTCATTCGTTTGTCATCGACTGTTGGCATTCTTGGTTTCCTTATCAGCAAGCACCAACCGTCAAAAAAAGTGCCGGCTTGGAGGAGATTGGCATCGCAGTTACGTGCTTATCATGCCACTATGCGCGGAAGGCTCCAGCACTGGCGAAATGGATAATCAAAAGGTCATCCTAGATCAGCGGGGCCGGTACATGCTGTTTGGTAGCAAACATGCCGATACTGACCGTTAGACACGCTTACAGGACTTCTCGCGAATCCTTCCAACCTGATTGTTCGATTGTTTGACTTACGCGCTGCAAACATCGATCAGCCCTACGTATAAGCGATAATTATAGTAAATCTAAGTACTGGTGACCTTTGGTGGCGCTTCAGTGTATAGCGGACGTGCGCGGTTCCAGGATGATGCCAGAAAGTAGCGTTGAATTAATTAATCCAACGCTATTTAACTAGTTCACTGATCTGCTTTTTTTAAAACGTGTAGTATTTTATTGTAATAAATCGTATGTGGTGTTTGTTTTATTAATTAATACGCGTGTAGTGTTTGTTTTAATTACAAAATTTCTCCCATTTCTCTCTGTATTGTTTTACTGCGAAAACGGAAACAAACCACTCACGATGTTAGCCTTTTTTTACTGTTTGAATCCGTCGATCAAAGACTTTTGCCTCCAACCAATTTAAAAAACACATCAGCCATCGAATGCAGCATAATCATTAACCGATAGAAAAAAGCACTGCACAGCCAACACAGCGCCCCCCAAATCAAAAAAAGAAGATTAAATTAACCATTTAAGCGCACACTGCATGTAATTCCATGGTAAAAAGCCGTTCGGGGAAAAAATTGAATAAAATTAATTCTTCCAGTTATCAAAAAAACCAACCAACAATCAATCATGTATCGCAACCAGCTCGCAACGCTAAACATGCCGGAGCACCAGAACCGTCGCAACGGGAAAATTACATACAAAAAAAGAAGAAGAAAAAGGAGAGGAAAAAGAAAGAACCAACCCGCGCCGCATCGGCGTTCCGAAAAATCCGGGAGAAAGCGCTCCGTGGAAGAACACACCCACTCACACATTGACACGCATCCAGCCCCCCTTAGTAAGCGGTCCAAACAACAAACACCCTCCCCTGATTTGTATCACATTCAAAGTACTCCTCGCGCCGGCGCCACCACAACACCGCATTTTTCCGGTGTTTTCCGCTTCTGTTCTCGGTTTCTCGCTCGGTCCAATCACAATGCGCACTGGGAGGAATTCAAGCCGATCGGTTGACGGTGGAAAAAGGGAAGGAAGGCGGGCGGGGGGATCAGGTGAGGAAGATATTGCTGGCGCCTGGGATGGCGCTGCCGGAGGGCGTCCCCGGGATGGAGTAGGCCGAGGACAGCGCCGACACGGTGCGGTCCAGGGAGGAGGAGGCGCTGCTGCTGCCCTTGGTCAGTTTGGTGCCCAGCTGCAGGTACTCGTCGTTCACTAGCTGCAGCACGTCGGGGCGCTCTTCTTTCTTCAGTGTTAGACACCGCCGGATGAAATTCTACACACACACACCAAATGTTCCTTACCGAATCAATGCCAGGATGAGGTTACTATTATTCAAAAACTGAACTTCCGTTATGGTGTAACTTGCAGACTTACTTTACCATCCTTCGTAATTTTGACAGAGTTATTAAAATAAAAAAATTTAATATACTTGTACAAAAATAGGGTTTTATTCTCATGCGTTATTACTCCACAATTGTATTCGGCACCAGTACATCGCGGAGACTTTCCAAGCTTCAGATAATTACTTTATTATTTATTAGTAGGTAGTTCCATGCTTTCAAAATTTAATACGCTAATAAGAAATGAATGTCGAATCATTTCAATTAATAATTACATAGTTATTATCAGCGCGCAAACACATTAACAGAGGCGTGCCGAGGATAACGCGTAATAAAAATGAATCCAAATACAGCCATTTCTTCAGCACATAAAAACTATGGTATACCTTGGCTTCCAGGGAGATAGTGGGCTTGGCGGAGAACTCCACCTCCTTGGCGTTCAGTATGATGGAATTTTGGAGGACTTCGCGTTGAGATTGCTTATCACCGTACGGCTACATAATAACACCACCCTTGTTATAACAATTACGCAACATATCCGACCGGATGTGAGGATGCCACAATACCTTCTTGCCGTAGAGCATTTGATAGAAGATGACCCCCACACTCCAGACGTCGACCTTGCTGGAGATCTTGGGGGTGCCGCCGGTCTCGAAGACCTCGGGCGGCAGGTACCAGTAGGTGCCGGCGCCCTGCGAGGTCAGGTCCATGCCGCAGTCGCTGTCGTAGTGCTCGTCGTCGCATACCTTGCTCAGCCCGAAATCCGTCACCTTGATCTCACCGGAGGCGTTCCCGTGGCCCAGCAGAATATTACCTAATAAACAATCAATTCATAATATATCGTTTTTCACATGCTCCACTATACCCGCCATTCACATTATTCCAGAACTCAAGAAGATATAATTAAATTTACAACTCAAACAAATTCCTGCAAAATACATTCCTAACAATTTAATGAAATCCATACTAAATTAAAAAATTTTTAATTTAATAAAATCCGTGCCAAATAAAATTAATAACAATATACCAAATTATATTAACCATAATTTAATAAATTCTGTGCGTAACTGTGTATGCGTGTGCTCGGCTTCATCCAATGCATAATGCACTACGGAGAACTAAGTAGAAAACAAATTTCTTCAACATCCATACCGGGTTTCAGATCGTAGTGGATAATAGGCGGTTTGAGCTCGTTGAAGTACTTCAAGGCGCTGACCACCTGGCCGATGATGGCGCGGGCTTCCCGCTCGGGAATGGTCTTCTGCTGTTTCAGGTAGAAGTCCAGATCGTTGCCTTCCACGTACTCCAACACCGTGGCGAACCTGGTATCAACAAAAATTCCCGTTTGACCGTTAAAATGGCTCACATTCCCCGCTTTTAATGAGGACGACTAACAGCTACACGTGACCGTCGTGATGCACTTACGAATTGTTGTCAATCTCGAAGACGTCGTACAGTTTCACCACGCGCGGATGGGTCAGGTGTTTATGGATCTGATATTCCCGTACCGCATGCCTGCCAAAAGAAACCGCTCGCAATTCTGAACAACAATAAAGCGCGCAGTCATCACTATGACCATATACACCGGTAGAGTTACGATATCATTTGAAGGTTATCGTAGAATAGTGGCAACATCCGGTAAACTCGTATACATTGGGCCATCAAGCACGAGGAAAATCACGTACAGCATGATCGTAAACTTTTTTATTTTTGACTTCGAAGTAGAAAATGTTTCAGTATCCTTAAATTACCCAACAGAGCGGACAATTTCTAACACTGGCTCAACAACCAACATCTTTTCAATGGATAGTCCTGACATTTAACTGATCCTCTACCACTATTTTCCTCGTTCCAATCAGTAGTTTTCGTTAAAAATTTCATAGTTATTTTCATTTATTACAATTTATCAAAATTTTATTACTAATTCGTTAAAAATTTCAGTATTACTAGTAAAAAACGTTTGACACGCATTAGTGAAGTACTGTAGCGGCGGTAGCAAGTTCGACCACAGAGTACGGAAACAACACACACGGCATAATAATTTTATTAGTAGTATTTATTAATTTCATAAGTAATCCTAATAAAATAACGGTACACACCGCTGTTTTAATTTCCTTATCGATTAAAAAAAACAGTAGCAGTAACAAACTGATAACGATAAGGGATATATTGTATTAGTGGGCATCGGCTTATTTTATTCCTACTGCCACGCTAACGGACTACTGCAGCCCCGCTTCTACGATTCTTATGCTTTGGCACGAGCGACGTACTTGATATAGTTGACCTTCTTCTCCTCCTTCCACTCCTTGATCAGCTGGTGGATCTTCACGGCGACGTAGCGCTGCTCGGCCAGATCGAAGGCCTTGTGGACTTCGCTGAAGCCGCCCTTGCCGATGAGGGAGAGGAGGAGGTACTGCTTGTTCAGCACCGGGCAGTGCCGGAACAGCGACTGGTCCTCGTTGTAGATGCGCTTCAGCTCGCGGATGTGGATCAGCCGTTCACGCTCCAGCTTCTCCATCTCCGATTGGCAGTCCTGCTCGTCCTTCTTCAGCTGGGCGGTGCGCAGCTTCAGGATCTCGTCCTCCTGATAGTAATCTGCCCATGTCCAACTGCACAATAATAACATTGATTGCTATATATACGAAAACCGAGTCGGAAAAATTCACAAAAAATATCAAGAAAAAATTGCAAACAAGTTTTCGATGTTTTCAACATTACAAAGAAATCTTAGGTTGAGAAGAAATAAAATTTCTCTAATTTTTCATTCATTTAGACAAGCAGCAGAACGAATATATTTACGACAAACAATATAAGTATCTGGCTCTCATTTTGCTCAGATCTGTCCTGCGTAGCCAAACATGACAAAGTGTAGTGAAAAGGCTCGAGAAAAATTATGGGGCAGCAGAATCCGAGTATAAAAAACCGTTAAACTGTTAAGCTAACAAAATTTCCTTTTATGAAGCTCTAAACGTTTTACTCTAGTCCACTGACTGACAGCCAATCAGATTCATCCTGCACTAACGCAACGGTTAAACTACAGTACTGGCTACACCGAATAAAATATAATATTCATTATAAATGTCAAATACCCGATGGTTAGTAAACAACATACAATTTTAAAGATATTAAAATACATTTTTCTGCCGTAAACGTATAATTCTTAGTGAAAAGCTGCATGTCGTACTCTCTGGCTTCGGGCTGGATTAAATCGATATTCCAGTTGGGTCCGTTGGCCGTGCCGGTGGAGACGGCGGACAGCTGGCTGAAGGGTGGCGGCCCCATGAGCCCGGCGGCCCCGGCCGCGCCGGCGTCGTTATCCTGCACGGCCTGCGCGATGACGACGCTCTGGTTGACGGCGAAGACCGAGGCGTTCTGGTTCTGGGCGCCCTTGCCGCGGCTGGCCTTGTCCGTCGGCTTCCGCTTCTGCAGCGCCTTCCGCCGCCGATCCAGCTCGTCCTTCTCGGCGGCCAGCTCTTCCGTGCGCCTATTTACATAAGAATCCAGATTCATACACAACAATACTGGGCGAAAAGAGGAGCTGGGAAAAAATTCGTTTTTCGTTCCGTATTTTAATGCGAACCTATCATGGACTGATCTCTTTAAAAAATACTTATTTATTTATGATTTGATTTTAGAAAAACAGGCAAAAATAATTCTGGCGACATTGCTAACTTTGATGCGCAAACAGTGATGTAAAGTTTTAACCCATCGTCGTTTTGTTGAAATCCATGCCAAAAAAAAGTATAACCTGGACATGACGAAGTGTACTGAAGTGGCTGATGGGAAAGGAACAAGAACATGAAAAACGTGCATTATCTTGGGCGGTTCAAAACTATTAAGGAAACATTAGCTTTTATATTAAAATCTAAACTTTTTTCGTTTCTTATCAATTTCTGGCAGCATTAAAATTCCCTAATTCCCCGTGTTTTAGACAATGAAGTATCTGCTTTTTCTTTCCCCTTACTTGTGCAGCTCATTGAACGCGTAGCCATCCAGGAATTTCTCCTCGAAATTGGCACCTTCGCGCTGCGTGACGAACTGGCCCAGCTTCATGCGGTTGTGCACGGATTTGGAGCGCGCACTTTTCTTCTCCATGGAACTCTGCAACAAACCATGCGATTGACATGCAAAATTTAACAGGCGCAGCTAACTTCATCAGAGCACATACCTTTTCTATTAGCAGCTTCTTCTCCATTTCCACGCACTTGCTCAGCCGCTCATCGGACGTGTCCAGTTTGTGCTTTAATCGTACGACTTCTTTTTGCAGTTCAGAGATTTTCTAACAAAAATTATGCAACGGTAAAATTTGCTGCCGTTTCCGGTCGAGGATTTTTTTATACCGATCACATCAAACTCATATAAGCGTTTTCCAAAATAAATTTCGTCATGAATGTTTTACCGGCTGCGAAGCAAATCGACAACTAACCAGTTCAAAACTCTGGATGGTCTTGTCCTTATCCGCTTTATCCATGGACTGCCGCGTGAATAACGCACTGATTTCTTTCGTAGTCAAATCGGTCTATAAGGAACAAAAAAAAATTAAAAATTTATCATAAATACAGATTTATTTTTACCATTAGAGTGTTATGATTTCGCTCCAGCGTCAATAAAGTTTTGTGTACAACCAGATACACTGACCGTATTCTACGATTTTACTGTTCAACACCATGTGTAGCTGGCGTACAATAATTCCACATTAAAATAAATTTCTCATAATTAAAAATACCATTTTTGTTCATATTTTTAGTAATTTACCCATTTATTTATTTATTACTGTTTATTTATTAATTCCATTTTTTACTAAATTATTTATCCCGGTTTTGCTACAACATTCCCCTGTGACCTTTACCTGGCAGGCGACGGACGTGGACGCCGATGACGCGGCCGTCGTCCGGTGTGGTCCGCCTGCGGCGCTGCTCATCACAGTGGTGCCCAGCTGGGCGGCGGAGAGGGCGTTCATGTAAGAGTTGGACTGCTGCAGGTGCAGCGGCGACCGCGATCCCGACCCGGTCATCTGCAGCGTCACGCTCTGCGGCCCGCTGGTGCGCGCGTGTCCGATGGACACGGAGATGGGGGCGCCCTGGCTGTTCTTGTAGAACTCCGCCATCTTCCGCCCCACCGGCCCGTTGCTGTTGATGATGGTGGCGGTCAGGCTGGACGCCGTCAGATCCGGCTTCATTCCCTTGTGAGGCGCTAAAGAAAATTTTAAAAAATTAATTATCATATGTACAACAAGCTGCCCTGAAAATAAAATCCCGCCATACAATTTTGTCTGATTTTTTTCAATAATAAAAAAATTAACGCCGTTATCAAAGTGTTCTATTAAAATAATGGTAATTCTAACCACTTAAAATTTTTAAAGAAAAGGTCGCGCCTAAACACGAGATAAGATAAGCACAGAAAGGTCACGAAGAACAAATCCAGAAAACGAAAAAATTACTGTAACGGTAATGAACAGGAAAAATTCCCTGCCGTTATGCGTTCATTTAAATTATTGGCAATTTTAAGAAGAACAAGAACGCAGGCAAAGTAGAGAAAGGTCAAGAAAAGCCAGTTAAAAAACTTGCGGCAAGACATTTCAATAAAAACTGGTGAAAAATGATCGACGAAAAACTGAAATTCGGTTGAAATCGCGCTCTAACCTGGCGTTTCCTTCACTTTGGTCTGCCGTTTCCTCTTCCGCGGCTCCGCTTTGGGCTGCTGCGTACTGACATCCGCCGGGATCTGCGTAACTGAGCTACTGCTGGCGGAGTTCCGATAATCATTGGGTATCTGCAAAAATTAAACGCATCATAAATTCCAGTGAATATTCGAGTAAAAAGATCCGCAATCTGGCGAACTCCGCTGTTTGTACCTCAATAATGACGTCCTTCTCGGCGGAATGCGACGACGTACTCCGCACACTGACATTACTGTCGTCCTTCTGCGTAGTGCTGGTGGGCGTATCCGCCGGGGTGATGGCGCTGCTGGGCAGCTGGGCCTGCTGCTGCGCCTGGTTGAGGGCCGCATTGGCGGCGGCGGCCGTCAGCAGCGGCTGAGCAATGATCTGTACCGGGGAGGATTGCGGGGTTTGCGCCGGCTGCAGGTCTGACAGGCTGAGCGGCAGGTTGTTCAAATTGTTCAACGGCAGATTCAGGACGTAGTGGTTCTTCACCGGCGAGTTGGACACCTCCATAATCGGGATGTACTGCAACCAACCATCCATTTTACACTAAATAAATCCACAGAGAAACAATGATCGAATCGCACAATCAGTAATAAATAAATCTTCCCAGAAAGCAGAAATTAAAGCAGCAAAAACAGATCACAACAACCGTTTCCAAAAAAATTAAACCCATGAAAAAGTTAATCATGGCAGAAAAAATTAATCACTAAACCACTGGTTGTACAAAATCACTTATAAATCAGAAAATAAACAGACAACAAACCAAAAAATAAGGTGCATGTGCGACACATGAAAAACATATGATATACATAAAAAACATGAACAAAATGCTAAAAAAAGTTGTTGAAATGATTGAAAAAATTCAGATTTTGCTTTTATGCTTCAGTTCCGAAGCGGAAATACATTGTTTTCGAATAAAAATTATCAAGCAGCAAGTCTTGAATTAATATTTTTTACCGTGGTGGTCCCGGCCGCGACGGCATGGAGACCGGTGGGTGTCAGCGCCCCCGCGATGGTGATGGCGTTGTGCGGGGGCGGCGGCTGCGGGGTGGAGGGCTGCGAGAGCGCCCCATTACTGGTGGAGCCCTGCTGCAGCTGTTGTTGGAGCTGCTGCTGATGCTGCTGCTGGGCACCGGCCAGACGGGCCTCCAGCAGCTCCTGCTTGCGGGCGTCGATGGTGGCGGCGGTGGGCGTGGCTGAGACGGTGGGCAGTGTCCCCTGCGGAGGCGGCAGACTGCCGGACATGGACAGCGACATCCCGGTGCTGACCATGCGACGGGCAACACGAGCGATTCACGTCTAACCGGACAAATTAAAATTTCAAAAGAAATCAAATTCCTCCGAAAAATAAACGCAAAAACGAAACAGGAAGCCGGAAATAAGTATTTTTAAAAAAATTGCCTCGAGGCATTTAATGACGCAGTGGATTCTATTTATCAGAAAACATAAACAAATTACTCTGAGTTTCTGCCCATAAAGAACTTGATAAGATTGGATAAAAATTTTTAAAAATCTCAAAAAAAAGTTCTAAAAAAATCCAAATAATTATACTTGATTGCACTATCATCGACAAATTTATTAAACAATTATCGTAAAAATTCTTTTTAAGCAGTACAAAATTTAACCGAAAATCAGCTTACCTTAAAGATGAAGAACCATAAAGGTTGCTTCAAGAAAAATAATCAACGAGCGAAATCCCAGATTTTTCAGCGTAAAACGTGGATTCCACAACACACAGATTTCGATTGCAGTTTGTCAGTGTTTAATCATAACACCACGGCATTGGACAACAGATCAACAAATTCGAATCACTTCGCAATATTTTCGCTGGTATCGACATGGAAAAGTCGCCAGGTAACTCAGCACAAGGCAGCCTGCAAACGCAACACCGCGAAACGTCAACAAAACGTCCGAGAAAATCACCACAATCGACAGAAAAAATTTCCAAAACCATTTCCATCCGAAAAACGCGCGATTTCTATAAAATTTAGGGAAGAAGATTTTGTGTATAGCTCTGGAGAATTTTTAAAAAATTTCAAAAGGTGAAAAATATCGCAGAATACGGAATGTTTGATTGGTAGTAGTGAGGTCGCGGTTGCTGCCTCCCTCATTTTCCACAATGAATTTCCATCAGATTTCTCCGGAGAAGCAGCGTTTCTTACCAGTTTCGAACGTAGAAAATGTCACAGATGCTTTGTATCACAAGATTCCCAGGTGCACAGTCAACGGCGGCGGAATGCTGGCCGAATGCGTTCAACCTTGAAAAACGCTCACTGACAGACACAACTCAAAGGCTCATGATCATCACACGGAAACACAGTGGGTCGCCAAAACCCAGCACAGAGCAATCACGTTCCAACAGGAATTTCCTGCACATCCGATCCCTGATAATATTGATATGGCTGAAGAAAATTACTGGTTAGAAAAAGGATGGAGGGAGAGTGATGGAAAAAAATTAAAGGTTGGACAAAAATTGGTATCAAGTTGATATCAAGTTATTCAAGTAGGACGTTTTTCTCACATCATCAGAAAATAAGCATGTTGGCGCTAGACGGAGTCAGATAGACGACGCAGTCAACTCACACTCAGATACACACACACACGCATCATAGCAAAACAAATCGAGCACCTAGCAAAAGATCAAGGAACCTTGAATTTGAACTGAACGGGATTGTTTCACGGCCAGTATTTCTCTGGGGCGACTTGGCTGGAAACTGCAGTACAACGCAGATTGTATGCACTTGTATAGTGGCAGTGTAGCCTTGGGATTACTACGGAAATGTGATGCTTTGCGCAGGGTTTAAGTGAGGGTTGATGAAACATGGCAGACATGTTTTTCGAATCCCACTGCTTCTTCGGAAACCGAGGAGATTTTTGCGTTGCTTGCATTTAGTAAAATTAATCAAAGAACAATCCATTTAAAAATCAATTTAGAATGCGTTGAGGAAATCGGCAGAGGCGGAAGGAAAATTAAAACAAGAAATGGGAAAAAAGGCGATTCGGAAACCGCTCTGTGCACACTTGCAGTTCGAGGCGGTTGGCGCTGCGACAAACGTAACTCTTTTTGAAATTACCGCATTTCACACAGGAAGTGAGAGGAGAATTTTTACAGTCTTTTTTACAGTTTATTTTTCCTTAATAATAGTAAATATTAATTGTTTTGCTTTTTTACGAACTCTATAAAATGATTCATTCGCGTCTTTAAAAAATGCCGATCTCTATTTAAACGACCCATCAAAAAAACATAAAACGAAGCAGAAAAAAACTCAAAAAAATGTCCACCGGAATAAAATCGTAATTTGCTAAAATTCTCGAAACCGCCGTGAGTATTCCCAGCTGATGCAGCAAAAAAAACGAAAAAAACACCCGTGACTAGACTGAAAAATAGTAAGTACAGAGGTACAAGTAACCGTGCCGCTTCAAACCACCATCACAAAAATTGACCAAAAAATATACTTAACACGCAGTTAAAATTCCAAATCCTCCATAGTAAAAACGTGTAAAATTTCGGGGAAGCACCAGCACACAAACCGGCTCAACACGAGAACACACCACCACACAAAAACAATAAATAATCGTGACTGAGAGTGAGTGAGAGAGAGATCCAAATACAAAGTCAAAACACGGAAGCCGAGGAAGATGCACCGCCCAAAAAAGTTCATTCCTTGGGGCACAGCACCTTGAGGATGTAGTCGGTGAGTAGGGTCGGCGTGGTGGGGCTGTCCTCGTTGATGGCCGCCAGGATCTTACTCAGCACCTGCATGTGGCGGGTGGAGATGCCGCCCGGCGTGGAGTCGTACGGGATGATGGTGGTCAAGTATTTTCCTTGATTGTACGTGCCTTTATCGGATGCGCTGCCGATAGAGCCTTTTTTCTTGCGTTCCAACGCCAGTTGGCGGCGTTTGTTCTGCACTTTGATCAGCTCCGAGATGAAACTGTTCTTCACTTCTTTCTCAAACTACGAGAAGATAAAAAAGGTAAAAAAAACAGAAAATTAAACTACTTAATAAAAAGCCGGCAAAGAGAAAATAACAAAACCGCTGCCTTGCCAATAGTAAGAGAAACTACTGCTGGGAAATTTCGGAATCAAATCGTACATGCCAGCAAAATAAAAACAGACCAACTCTGAAAATCGGGTGAAAATAAAAATTTACAAGTTATCAACAAGAAGCATCCTTGACAGACTTTTCATATCCTACACGATGACATCACCAGCTGCTTCTTCAAATCAACGAAGCCGTTGCGGTACGTAACCAACATACGAATCAGCTGCATATAATTCATACGCTCGTGAAATAAATGCAATCTCCCCAAGCAAATTAATTCTGTTTTTTGTTACTCGGCTTCCACGCACGACAACTATGCAAAAAAAACGCTGCATCGTAATTTTCCGGTAACAACACAAATCAGAATACTGGAAATTTAAAAACAGATCAGGGAAAACCAACATTTAGCAATCCGAAAATGATAATTATAGATTAAAAAATTAAAGACATTTTGTATTTAGATCAAACACACAGCTAAATAAAACGCTAACCCAAAAGAAAACCAGAAAAAGAACTTAAAAATATAGTACCTACACGAAAACACGGGACTTTTTCAGTTTCTGCCTCGACAGCTGCAGTCAAAATCTATAGAACTGGACGGTGCTTACTTGCAGCCAGTGCCAGTGCACTACAAAACCTACATATTGTGCATACACACGACTACAATCTTACGAAGCAGCCTGGCAGTGCAATATCAAAACATCGCCAACCTGCATGGTTATTTCCGGGAAGAAAAATTAATACCTATTTACGATCAACCCTCCACAGTCCACGTACCTGTTGTTCATCGCGCTGCGCCAGCTCCTGCACAAGAATCTCCGAGTACTGCTGCGTCAGCCGTTCCAGCTCCGTCTGCAGCTCCAACAGCTCCACCATACTCAACTCCACCAGACGATCCTCGTACAACGGCGAGGGCAGCACCGGCAACGGGGTGGGATGCACCACCTCCAGGCCCTCCAGCTGCTCATCTCCGCGCCGACTGTCCTCACTCCCCACACTGCCGTTCTCCGCGCCATCGCCCTGTCAATACAACACGCCGACTAAACGCACGGTTGACGCTGAATATTCAAAAAAGGTCGTATAATACAGCCACAAGCGTCTGGTCGTTAAAACGCGCCCAGATCGGTTGTATAATGGCATCGTTCCGACATCCTACTGACATTTCATCGTTATTAAGGCCGTGTGTGTGTGTCTGGGACCGGTTGCGGCGCACACGCTGAACTCGGTTGTCAGCGCGAGGGAGTCACCCCGACCCGCAGCACGGTATCCATTTAGCCGCGATTTAACGATGTGCAAAACAGGGCTATAACAACCATTTGCGCCGGCCACATTTCCCCGGCCATTCTGTCAGCCGTCGCTAATGTACCGGCAAACAGCATGCAATAAATACATCAAAGCACAAAAACATGAAAGGATCATTTTAAATCAATCCATCAAGAAAATTCATAATAAAACGGTAAAAAAAGATCCTATGAGCTTTAAAATTAACGAAATAATATTTTAAAAATTTCTTCATCGTGGACTAAACAGAAATGAAACGTTTACTACAGTACAACAAAGTAACGTAAAGAAAGATCCTGCAAAAATGCGCATCACCACAAAATAAAACCAAACGAACGAAGTACATAACTCGTACAGAATTTATTGTGGAATCAAATGTGGATACGGTTTTAAAATGATGGATGGACTTTTTTTAAAAACCAATCATTCATAAGTAAAAACATTTAAAAAATTGCGGACGGAACTTAATTAACCAGTGTGAGAGATTTATTGGGTCATTCAACTTAACATTGGTTAAACTCAAAATTACGCAGTTCTCATCACTTCAACACATAGTAACCAGGTAAGACGAGTACAGAATTTCCTGTGGACAAAGTCCACAAATCGTGGAAGGAATTTTATTTACAGTAATACGAAAATAAATCGATGAATAGGACAAAAAGTCAAAATACTATACATACATAATAAACTTGACCTTTTCTGAATCGCGAATGAGATTTTAACTAATACGAGAATAAATCGTACATAATTTCCCGTTGGCAAATTTCAAAAAATCGTGGATGGAATTTTATTTAACACGAAAATAAATCAATAAAAGGGAAAAAAATTCAAAATATTACAAATAATAAATACAAAATTTTTTTAATCCAAGAAAGCTAATCGAATAATGACCTTAAAAGCATTTTCCAGCAATGACAGGGATCATGAGATTGGGGACTATGTACATGTGCCCGGCGGGCGGATCTTCCCTCCCTGTATCCCATCGTCAGCGATAACCATTTCCCGGTGCTGACATTCCCGCTGCCGACTGCCGCATGTAATACGCGTCTCCCCGCGGCCCACTTCGCCCGCGTATATCAGCCGCAGCGATCGATCGGGTCAGTCTGATAATACACTCTCCCCGGCCATATCGGCAGCGAGCAGCCGGATCACCGTGGCACAGCCACAAATCCCCATTATCCCCACAACAAATATAACGCTTATTTCTCCCATTCCGGCACTGCTTGCGCGTCCCGCATATACACTCTTCACCCTCTTACACTCTCTCGCGCAACCTTTAGCGGAAATTGATGGGAAAACATTGCTGGACGGAAAACGGGCCCACTCGCGGTCGTTGTTTTACGCGCATGGTAATGGGATCGGAGTTTTTTTTTCGTCAGTCTGACTGCGTAATTATGGAATGGGAGTATGGGACTAAGAGTATTAACATGATTTTTCAGCTGTGAGTGGGGACGGATTAAACACGGCTTGCGACTATCATTGAAAAACACTCCATCACCGCGTGCTGGCAGTTCAATGTCAGGCGAGGAGAAAAACACACCAATTACTCTGTGAAAAACGGCATCCATCACGGTGAAATAGACTGTGATTCCGGTTGAAAAATTTTTAAAAAATTACAATTTACGTACATTTTATACAAAAATAACATATACTTTTTCAAAATATTGTTAATCTATTTGAATTTGAACACACACAAGCGGCCAGTGTTAAGGACAGTCAGAAACGATAACAGGACATCCCGTGTCATATCCCACACACTACGATCTCTTTCGCATCTCAAAACACTCGGGCATAATAGTACTTGCTGATAATACGGTAAGTTACTGTGAAAAACGGCATCTTGTCTCTGGGAAACAGATTTTGCTTTCGTCGTAGTATCAGCAGAAAACAATTACTGATCACACGTAACAAAAGCCAAAAATAAATTTTATTAAACCAGCATCTCCGCAAAGTTATCTGTAATGTACAGAAAATCGTTTCCAGTACTTCACAGGTACGATTAAGTGACGATATTACAAAGGTCTCATCCCATACACTACATTCTCTCACACCATTACACCCAGACGGCCAGCCATATTCATGCGAAACTGCTACCCGACGAGCTTGGATCACCAAATTATAATAATAAAAAAACGCAGCTATTTATCTAATAAATGCAGCTATTTCTGACATATGATATATTTCGAAATTTCACTACGAAACATGACCCACGCACCTGCATCATCATGGCATCAATCTCCTTAATGACTTCATCAGCGGTAGCCAGGGCGTTAACGTTGGGATTCTTCCCCCGCGGCAGATCATCATGATCCGCGGCCACAATCGAATGCATGTCCAACTGCTGCATCAACTCATCATCCGACTCCTCCGCCCCAGCGCCACCGCCACCGCCGCGCGGCTGCTTCTCCTTCAATCCCAGCACCGGCAAGAAGAGCTTATTGCGGATGACCGTCTTGGACCAGTCCACCGGCATCACCGTCCCGAAGGAGGAGCACAGATCGTTCCAGAACTGCGACTGCCCCAACAGTTCCTCATGCGTGCAGATCTGCACCGGCGCCAGCTCCGACACGTCGCTGGTCAGATTCCCGTTGCCGAAACAGGCGGAGATCTTCTCGTCCAAGCTGCCGACGAGGTCTTCCAGGGAGCCGCAGCGGCTGCCGGACTCTGTGAAGCCGGAGGTGGAGGCGGCCGCCGAGGGGCCTTCCTCGTCAATGTCTTCCCGTGCTTTGCCTATCGCGCATTTTATTCGTAGAAAACACCCGAGCTAAATAATATTGTACGTGGATAATTTACGGTGACAAACGGCAGCTGTCTATGTGGAAAAACGCTGTTTCAGTGGATCATAAATAAAAAATACAATAAAAATTAAGTACTTATTACCAGGAGTGCAAGCTGAACAAAAATTTTTTACACATCAGTTAAATTATTAATTTAGCAGATACGGAGGCAATAATTAGTATTATGGACACAGGGGCCACCTGACGCGCTTACGCTGACATCCCATACACTACAAAATCTGTCAACCAAACACTGGCAAGTGGCAATACTGATTCGTTACATAACTTTTTCGCATTTTTATTTGGTTATTAAATGCCGCATTCTGCGATAATCAATGCAGAGCAACAGAGTAAACAATAAATAATTACCTGCTACATTAAAATAAATAACTCAAGAGAAAATCTCAAATAAATATGAAATTGTAAAAAATGCTCCATTCAAACGATTTAAGTTATCTAAATCGCTTGCATGGAGCATTAATGCTATTTAACGCTTAAGGCGTTAAATACCGTTAACGCCGGGCGAGTTTGTTTGTCCCTGGAAACACGGTCGTGTCATCCAGAAATGATGTTAACAAATTAACAGAAGGAACATAGTTGTTTTCGATCCAATTTTTAACCATCTGTTCCACAATTTCGCTAAAAACCCGCCCGCCCACCCGGAAATATCCTGTGTCATCAATTTGTCCTGTTGTTCATTCTCCGTTGTTCTATTTGATATCGCCAGCGTCGCTCTGTTGTGTTCAAAGTTTCAATAAAGGGGTGTTCGGCGCGGCTCGTCTCAACGGAAGTCGACGACCAGCGGCGCCGTTCAGTTGCGACCGTTTGGACATCGTCGGCTTTCGAGCACTTGCCCCGACATCCTCAAAGCGGCAACTGATTAAACGAGCCCGAAAGCGTTAACGAACTGAATTATTTTTACGGAGTGAAAAGGAGTGATGTAAATTTTCATGACTTTCGTAACTTCTTTAATAAAGCGGCTCCCAACATAATCTGTGGTATTTTAATTCAGAAAATAATAAAGCACAAAAAATCACTAAACAAATTATAATTAACAAATTATAGTATCGTACTCCGGGAATTAATGGTCACGCCAATAAAATGCGTTTAAGTTTCTTTGCTGCTTGTTAAAACTGGAAAAATTGTACTACTTAACTACTACTTACTAGTTACATACTGGATAGGGACGTCCAGAAATTCTAAAGAATTACATGTTTTTCAAAATCAATTACGCTGTATAACCCAATTGTTCGTGTCACGGAATCAACAACCTCAACACCCTCCACGCATTGTCCCGCTGAATAAAAAATTTAAATCCCCCTATTCACTCCACTAATCACTGGTTACATAAGCGGCCCACGCAGAACGACCAACGTTGAGTACACTCTCTGCCCATTGATTTCCGCTTCCCCCGTTCAACACCACAAAACAATACAAACACACGCTTACCTGCATAAGCGGAAGTGTGGGTGCTGCGCACATACACGCTGAGATTATCGCATGTCCCGGCCAGGGAAGAGTAGCCGCTGCTGGCACTGCCGAACAGCGATTCCGCATTCTGCCCGACCACCACGACAGAGGGGGAGGCCAGGGGGGCGCCCCCGGCCCCGTGAAAATCCTGCCATTCCTCGTCCTCCGTGTCGGAATGCGGCGCAGCCCCCGCCTCCATGTACGACTGTACGGGCGTCAGCGGGGTCTGTACCGGGAACGTGAGGGGATCCGCGGTGTTTAGCGGGCGATGTTGATGCTCAATGGGGTGATCGTCGCCGTCGGTGTCGTCCAGTTCTGACTCGTTTTCCGCGTCGGCTAAGGGGGCGTCCACGAGGTCGGGATCGAGATCGGCCATGTGCTGCTGAGGGAATATGGCAAGAATCAACGGGAAGATCGGGAGGAATGCACTGTATCACGGCTGTGTTAAACGCGTTGCATGCTGTGATTCCAAACAGCTGGAATTGAGCACGTTGACGGTGTGGACAGGACTACGGAGGTTAAAAATGCAGCAGAAGAGGGATTTGAGCATGATGCGTCTGGATGTGGAGCATACTCCCTTTGGATAGCAGGGCTGTGCGCTGAAAAGAGAGAAACTGACAGACAAAATACGGAAAAACAGGAACACATATGACATACGCTAATCAATGCGAGGCAGCCGCGCTACAGCGAACACGGTATCCTGCGCCGCGTTTTTCTTTTCCCCGGAAATCGTCCATCTGGGATAATTTTTCTTGGCGGTGAATGACTGATTCCGTGTGTTCTTATTCCATGTTTGCACTGATTGATCAAACAATTAAAAATGCAAATGCAACCGGGTTTGTTTGGTCAAGCGAAGGACCCAGTTTTTCCCCACGCGAATCTTCATATGCACAGTGCATGCTTGAGTGATTCTCTGTACCACACCGCCGCTCAACTGTACTCTGGCCTGTACAATACGTCTGCCGTTGCTGATAAACCGGAAATGAACTAGAAATTGATCGGTGTCTTTACAGAATCCATACGAGTATTTTACTGCCGGATCGTATGGACACATCCCCTGCCAACTTTCTTCACATCATTGATCGTCTGTGATAGAATATTCGCAATTAATGATTTATGAATGATCTAGGGCCTGTCTGTTTTCCGATGCATCGGATCTTAGTTAATACGGCGGAGCGAAGCCAATGGGAAACTTTGTGTCTGTAACCTACATTCGGCATTCACTTGTAATTTGAGACGTTGAGTCATGCCTGTATTTTAAAATTGGCATTTTCCACGAACTGTTTGTTCATCTGTGTAGCTTCAATTTGTCAGATTAAATAATTCAATCTCTTTTCCACAATTTTGGGAAAATAGCAATTTTTTCTAAGACGTTTTATAATTACTGACCGGAAGTATGCGTACGTACTAATCTTTACGATAAGCATAGACGTTCCGTTCAGTTATGAATAAAACGTTATACAATAAATTGTATACAAAAAATTGTATAACGCAGAACAAATATTTGATTAACGAAGAACAAATATTCAGATTAATGATTTATTTAACTATATAGATTGTGGTTTTGCACAACCATCATAACCGCATTTTGTGAAATAAAAATTAGCGGCGAATACTAAAAAAAAACCATCATAAACAGTTTCAGTAATGCTACAGTATTAATTAGAGACGCTTGCTGAAGTGGTTGACCACAATCGCCCATACACTACGATGCTGCTGCAATTTCTATCACGGTATTACACTATGTTGTAAAACGTAACATATTGACACTAAAGTACTAAAGAGTTGCCATCAAGATCGAAGCATGGCAGTTCTCTGTACCATCAACTGCAGCAAAATTTAAACAAATGATCTTTAATTAAATTTTTAAAAAGAATTTTTAGACGATAGTGCATATATGATAGCAACTCATATAAATAGTTACTTGCACTTTCCGAAAATCGATCCTTCTAATCCTTAAAGAAATTGTAAGATTATCTGCAACGTAAACGAGCAAAATAATAATAATTCGTCTGATGTTGATATGGCTTATCTATGCTCTTGCATAAGCAGGATTTATTCAGTAATCTGCTGAGCGAATTAATACCCCCACCGAAATGGCAGTACAAACCGATGACCTTTCCGTCCACATAACCATAACCCACCCGAATTCTTTCATTTGACTAAAGCGACATACTCGTAACTTCAAAAATTGCAAAGTTTGAAAAAAACTTAAACCAAATAATGCAAGAAAATAAATTAAACCCACGCACCGTTAAATCGAAAGAAATCTTCAGTTTATCGAGAAAGCATGAAGCATGCGAGTATCGCCTGAACAGGGAGTACCAACACAGGGGATAAAATTACGCGTCAAGCATTTTTATTTCTCATTCTGCAGCGCATGCAACGCCTCCACGATGCTGGCCTTACTTCAGGCCTGGGCGTGGCAGCTGTGGGGGCAGTGCGCCCCTCAGGCGTTGGTCAGTTCCGGCAGACCGCGCCAGTCGGCGCTCCGCACATCACACATGTAACCAGTGCCGGCCCAGAACCGTCTTCACAAACGACCGTGTTTTGCTTAAAATCTCCGCGTTCTGATGTTGGCCCGCGATGGAAGATTAATTTGGCGCGCAGGAAGTGGCCTATCAACCACAGCCCCTCTTGAAACAGGGGCATTGTTTTGATTTTTTGTAAAAATGAAAACATTTGCTGCTGCTTAAGATTATTATGGCTCCGTTGCCCAAACATATTCACTAGGAAAAGAGGCAAAGACGGTGCTAGGAACGGTATCGCCCCTACACTACAATGAGTCCATAAAGGGGTACAGTGTTTCGATCACCAAAAGTATCACAAACCACGTACATGCCGAAGCAAAGTATTGGCATTTACCAAACAGATGACCGTAATTTTGGTTAACCGCACAGCATACATGAATATACGCGCGTAACAATAAATTGCGCGGTACATTTATTATTAGGTAAATTCTCGCCAGCCAGTAGTACGTGGACAATTTTTCATCACGATATAGTAGGCCCCGTCATCTTTCCCATCGTCCTGCTTTTCGTCATTCGTGCGAAAGAGAACCCGCTTAAATTCTGTTAAGGATATGTTGCTGACAAATCTCTCCCAGTTTTCCGGATTGCGCATCAGATGACCCGGCGTTTTTAATTTGGGCGATGGTTGCGGTCCGAGATCCCACAGACAATTGAGAAAAGGAAAGTTTTGATAAATATAAAAATACGCAGAGTTGTTAAAAAGCCGGTAGAAGCGTACACGCTATTCGGAAACCAAGGTGCACAAATAAATTAAAGCAGATACAAGTTACAGATAGTACTTAACGCCATAAAAATAGCAAAACATACTCAGACGTCAGAACAACTGCGAAGCAATCAAGACAGTTTATATTGTTGCAAAAATACTTGCCAAGAACATCACAATTAACCAAACTGCCATTACTCTACAACATTTCTGCTAGACGCCTTGACAATAAGTCATTAACAACCAAAACTTAAAAACCTACGGTAGTGCTGTATAAGTCGCTATATATGCTTCTTTACAACCGTTTCCACTGTCAATAAAAACTTATGCTCATGGTACTTCATGCTCAAATACAAATCAAAGTGAATAAAATAATTTTAAAAAATAATGCTAAAACAAAAATCTTAATGGTGAGTACCACAGCAAATCCTGTTAAACAAAAAGCCAGATCGTCACTCCTGCACTATTCTACATAGTACAACAGCATTCCCATTTAAAAATGCAACATCAACAACGAGCAGCCTCGGAGCAGATAAAACTAAACTTATTCGTTATGTTTTTATCAATTTGTTAATCCCATTGACAACAACTGTAATTCTTAAAGAGTAATACCAGCATTCAACAGTAAAGAATTAAAATTTCCATCATATATAAAAAGAAGCAGGTAAGTTTTATAAAAACATTTACATTCACATTTTGACAGTACAACAGAAAATCTGTACTTATAATTAGAAATTGGTCAAGCAATTACGGACGCTTTCGTGCTGCTGTTCTACAACACCGACTTTTATTGATTTTTAATTTTACAATTTTACAATTGCAATTTTACAACACTTTTACTTAGTGTTTGTTTCGGTCCATAAAGCTGAACCAGAACGCTAAAGACCCTGAACATACGCTGCAATTTTTGAAAATGCTGGGAAAATCAAAAACTTTTCTATAAATCTTCTGGAAGGTGTAACTTGCGGCGCGCTTCTTCCAGAATCAGCTAGCAGTTGCGCAGTTACCAGGTGGTTGGTACAGTGGAGTGGAGGGTTAAGCAATAGTTACAAGGAAGGCGTCGAAAGGTCACCTTTGGTTGGCATGTTAAAACGGCGTCGCACGGATGTTTCCCGTTGGTGCTCATCTCCGCCAACCAGCTGATGAAGTACAGCCACCGCCAGACGGCATCACGGACGCTGCAGCGGGCGCCAGTGCCATCCGACAGGAGACTGGGGATCAGCCCGTGCCGGAGACAGGCTACGGAGGCCAGGATGAGGAATCTGCACCGAGTACAGTGTAAAAGCAGCGGTAAAAGAATTCTGTAGGCGTTTGTGGACGCGGTGCACCGAGAAGAACGTTCAGCCAGATGGCATTAATTTGGTATACTGTAGTGATTTGGTTAAATAGTACCTGGAGCTGAATAATCGCAAGAAAAATATTTCTAGTACGTAATTTTTAATAGTGTATGCGGATTTCATTAACACAGTACACATTCGTTTGACTAAAGCAAGATGGCTCCGAAAATTGCAAACGTTGAAAAGGCAAAAGCACAAGCCAAATAACAGACAAAATAAATTAAACCCACGCGCCATTAAATCAAAAAAATCTGCAGTTTATGGCTATGGGCGCAGTGCGCCCCTCCGGCGTTGGTCAATTCCGGCAGACCGCGCCAGTCGGAGGTGGCACTGGTTGCGAATATGCAACCAGTGCCGACCCAGCACCGTCTTCACAAACGACCGCGTTTTGCTGTTTATCCACGAAAATAATTAGGCACCCAGGAAGTATAGCCCATCAATCACACCCAATCCTTCAAAAGACGTCGATCGCTTGTTTTGATTTAAGTAAAAAAAGAAACCATTTCGATTTTAGCAGAACACAGACGACGTACTATTGTCAACAGTTTTGCATCCACGCAAATACTAAAGAGTACAATAGGAAGCAACTGCTCGGAAAATATCGCCCATGCTCTACGACGTCTGTCGAAATTTGCACCAGGTTTTGATTATTATGGCGATTTACGAACGAAGCTAATTACTTCCATTATCTAACACATGACGTGATTTCGGTAAAAACATACAACTTCACCGAAATGGATGGATTGTTTAATAAGATATTCTCTCGCAATGAATAGTGTACATTAATAATTATTTTTTAAACAAAGTTTTCAATTTTGTTTGTAAAAAACGTTCTCAAGTATTTTTCAGTTTTCTTAATTTAAGAATTGCTTTTGAATAACGCGCGGACACTTCCTTTTATCATATCAATGTACGTTTTTACTGCTACCGTTAACGAAACAAATTTTAACGATGTACCACTCAGCACAAAAAGTGCACATGCGATGCATGAAAGTGCATCGACGAAAGGTCGTATCATACAGATATGTATGACACAATTCATTGAAAATCGCTATGTGCTATGTACTGAAAACGTACCGGTACTTGGTGGTAGACTGGTAGTAGGAGCCGTGCGCTCGTTTCGCGTTGCTACTGTGGTCGTCATTGTCGTAGTCACGACATCGTACGCGCGGTCTCTAAAAAGTTCAAAAAAATAATGGAACCGTATGAAAAACCAAATAAACAGTAAAAAACCCGCGCGCTTACTCAGGTGAGAGATCTTCAAGCCAAGCGGACCCAGAAGGTGCTC